GCTACAGTTTCTAGAAGTATCATGACTGTTCCTGGCAACTCTAGTCTTTTCTAAACGCCCTCTTTTTTGTATATAAGCCCGGCAATTGTTTGTTTTGAATTTCGCGCAAAGCTACACGAGGGCTATCGGCGCTAGCCGTCCCTAATTAAGCAGTGTAAGACTAGAGGGAAGGCAGCTTGTCATCACCCCCACCGCCAACTCTTGGGCTACTCTTTACCAACGAATAGTGGGATTGACCGCACATTATAACCCCCCCTCCACGGCTGAAAGGTGTGACGGGGATTCGAACCCGCGACCCTCAGATTGCAAGTCGAGCGTCCTAACCACCTGGCCAAGCCCAGCAAATAAAGCGGAGGTAATTGCAGATAGATAGATATAGAGATAGATAATTGAGTCAAGTGAGCGGTAGTGACGGTAATATAAAGTGTGTGTTTTGTTATCGAGATTGCAAACGTATTGACTGTAGAAATTCTGTGTATTGCAAAGTTGTATTGAGAAAGAATAAACTAGTCTTATTTAAGAAAGGACTTGTATCGCTAAAGTTCCTCGGGAAGAATTTATACCGGAAATTAACAAACAACTAGAGACGCAACAATATTTATGAAACGAATCTTAAATAAATGTAAAATATTGTTACAAAGAAGTGGAGTAGTTATTCAACTTCCAAAAAACAATAACATTATTTTAGTTTAGTTTTTAATTGCATCATGTTATTCATAAAACTACTTTATGAAACCCGATCAGCATTTATCGCTATCTAATATCGAGAAAACTAAGTATTTCACGTTTTTTGGTTGTTTATTATTATTTCAAGTCGTGATAACGGATAGAGACTAAGCTTTCTTTTTTTTAATCTTCAATGAACATATGCAAGAAAAGTCAAGTTTAACTAAACATTTATTCCAAGTAAAAAACTACATTAAGAAATTGATAAACCGAAAAAAGACTTATAAAAAAAATTGTTATATAAAGATTTATAGAATTTATCCATCTATCGTCTATAAACGTAACTATTTTATCTAATTTAATATAGTTTAAAATTGAACTATTTCCATAAGTTAATTGACTTAATTTACAATTGAATTAAAGAAGTAATACCAACTAATTCTGAATAAATGTCACTGGCTAATGCTTAAACAATGCAAATTTAGAAATATTTGAATAAACTGTTAAATTACGACTGGAAACGCAATAATTTATTTTGTATTGCATATTTTACTCTGCGGTAAATGACCTGAAACTCAATAATTTGATTCTGTATTGAAAACCTAAGTATTTACATGACCAAACAATCTATAATGTTTTACACAAGTGAAATTAGTAATTTTTTCTACTTGCTGTTAAAACCTAATTTAATATTTTGTATCTGATCGAAGATGGTATAAAAGTTAAACTTAGTTGTACAAAATAAAAGTTGTGTTCTAGAGCTAATACCAAAATTTTAGTTAAAGTCACTATCATTAGATAATTACCAAATATGTAAATAAAGTGTAACAAATACAAGCAAAACACAAGTTTTGTTACCGTTGCCATAGTATGACGTTGTTTAACTTCGTGTCTCAGCCCCCCTCCATGGTGTGGGACCTGGAACAGTTACTCCCCCTCCGGTTTTTGTTCTTGTGTAGCTTTGTTATTGACAACAAACAAACAAAACTTTCATATTTATTAAACATGTAATTCGTGTAAAACCAAATTTAGAAGAAAGATTGTAAATTAATATGATTTTCAGGAACGACCCCCTTATAACTAAGGTCAAAAAGTACAATCATTAACTTAAAGTACTAGAATATTTCTAAGATCTAATTTGTTTTTGTTGGTGGTTTAGCGGCAAGTTTGAAGGCTCCTAACTAACGCTAAAAATAGAGTTTCATTACCCGCGGTGTTCAGAGCACAGATAAACCCATTATGAAGATCTGTTTTTAACGACAAAAAAACAAAGATTTTAGTTTTCAATCCTTCCCAAAGATGGCGATCGAGTAAAAACTGATATAAAAACTGAATATGTTGATTACGCAATTTGTAAAATTTATACGAACTTGGACAGTTATTTTGTACAGGTTTACTTATTCTTCCCAGGCTCTTTGTGAGAGGCAGCTATAAGAACATGATTTTCAGAACGTGATATTTACCTAAAACAGCCACAACAAAAATAAAGTAATACGGGGTGTCCAAAAAGTCCGTAGCCTCGGTCATTTGTTATAATTGATAAGTGTTTACTTATTTTTCAGATAAATAATAATAAAAATATTGTATGCAAGAAGATGGCATGAAATTTGAAGTTTTCTGTCTATGTTTTGAAAAGATGTTTCGTAGTACGTGGTCACTGCTTGCCTGATCTCTAGAGCTTCGGTTGGACTGTGATAGATTACAACATTAGAAACGTACGTTCCGATTTTCACACACTTTCACTTGATTACAACTGGAGGTCCAGTTGTTTTTTGTAAAAAAGTACTAGAAATTTAGATATGTACTTTCTTGTTGTTACTCCCGCCTGAAAATCGGGTAAGTGGTTAAAATCTAGTAACTCTGATGCGAGGTAAAAGAGGGTTTTCTGATCCATTGTTGTTACATCCTTCCAAATGATAACATTCAATCCTTCTTCTTCAGTGTTTTCCATTACCGTCAAACCTTCTGCCACTACACTAAGTCGAGATTTACGAAGGCTGGAATTTGGACTGGTTTCGTGTGAAGAGCAGGTTCGGTCTAAACAGATGGCGCTGCTAGGAAATCCTAGGTTGGTTCCTTGATGACCAATGGGCAAACTGAAACAAGATAAAGAACTAATAAGGCAAACGAGACTAGTAGACTTTTACTGTTGTTAGCATACCAGCTTAATGATGTTTAGTAGAAGTAATTGATAACTTAGTGTTTACATTTGTTATTTAACTTCGATTCTCACGTATGCTCCACTTAATATGGTCTTCTGATTAAAGACCCCTTCATTCTTTGTATACCCGATCAATCTCACAGATGTTAATTTAAAAATATTTATCTCACTGTAATCTCAAATATATATCTAGTCAATTTCGAGATGTTTTCACTCACAGTAATCTGAATCAGCCAGCCAACCAGAAAGTTAAATTCGAATACTTCAATTCATAGAAGTCTGACACAAACAAGTGGTCAACGTCAGACTGCTTTAACTCTCACAGCAGTCTGAAATAGGAGGCTACATGGCTTGGACTCTTAGTCGAAAAGTTGAAGGTTCGAGACTCGCCTACGCCATGTCACTATGACTTTGAGGAAATCACTTTATATCAATTGCTTCAGTATACTCAGGTATACAGCGAGTACCAGCGGCCATGTTAGTTAGTTAATTTATTGTTAAACGCAAAGTTACTCAAAACACTAGCTGTGTTGTGTACATCGCAAGTATCGAAACCCGATTTTTAGCGTTCTAAGACTTCCCACTTAAAGCTGAGCCAACGAGGGGGGCTATTTTGTAAATTTAAGCTAAACCCACACACCCAAATAATCATTCTTATCCATAATAATAAAATTAATAATTTCATCATAAATTGAAAACGTTTCGCATATTTTGAAATCTTTCTCTAGCTTTTCTTTTTCTTTGTTATTTCTTGTTTTCTGTAAACATATTGGTCTGTTTTACAGCTACACTTTGTTCTTAGTTTTTTTTTACTTTATCTTAAACCTTTATCTTTATAATTAGGCTTAGCCTTACCTTCAGGGGTCAATGCAACAGATAAGTAGGATAAAATAGAATAACATTTTAATTATATTAGTACTCAAGTCAACTAGTGGAATCTCGTTGATTTAATTTATATAACCAACGAGGATAAGGAAGCCAATAAACGAACTAAGAATGCTTATTTTGGAGATTTTCCGCTTAAATATAATTTTTTATAGCTTTTCAGACCACAAAGTTTCACAATTGTATTGGGACACTCCAGGAAAATTAGGTTGATTTGTCTTTAAATATTAAAGGACAACGTACACTGATTATTGGCAAAAATAACAAATCGCAAAGACTATGGGTGAGAACCAGAGGTCAAAGAAAATATTGGAGGGGGTGGGAATGTGGTCTACCTGTGCGCCGGGCTGGACATTATCGGTCCTGGTTGTCAACTTATTATCATAACGGAAGATGTCTGTGGTAATAGCACCAAAATGCGTTGGTGATATCCCATCTATCAAACAAAATCCAAACGCCGATATCAATTTAGTCAGCAGTCATGGAAAATCATAAAAACAAAATCAACCAAATAAGGGTACGAAATAGTGCTTATATCCCCACAACGTCTCAGCTTTTACTGCCTTTCACTGTCTATAGCCAGTTGTGGGAAGGCAGTTACCCTTAAATTTCATAAAGTAGATATGAACTGAAAGAAAGCCGCCTTAATATTTCTATTAAACTCCCTACCTCCACCCTTACAAAAAGATATTAAATAGGACTACAAGACATTCAATAGAACTAAATAGGACTATACACCCATCCTAGCTAGCTATTAATCAGTTAATTAAAATATGCTACACAATATAAAAAAAATTACTTGCAAAACTTACAGATGCTTAGCCTGTCCGGCAGACATTGATTTTCAAAATGTACAACTGTGTAAAGTAGATCATATAATATATTTATTAATTTGTAGTATATGTGGACTTAAATATGTAGGACAAACAACTAATCTTTTACATCTAAGGATTAACCTATATAGAACACAAAGTAAGAAGGGTTTTCCTCATTCGATAAAAATAAGTCACTTTAATAAACATTCATTTAATAATGTAAAAATTACTATATTAGAAAATATAGCAGAAAGAGAAGAATATTGTCACGACAGCGGAAGTCAGGTGACGCTAGAATATTATATTCTGAAAGAAAAATTATTTACCTTTATGGATTAAATCAGGACTTTCGAAATATAACTGCTGAAGTTAAGTAAAGTTTTCTATATCAGAAATTTATTTTAAATAAATATTTTTTAGAAATAACATAGGGATAAAATGGAAAGAAATGGATTGATTTTAAAAGTTTTTGTAAAAAAATTGGATTCTGTTTTTGGTAGATCTGTTAATCTGGTGAAATGTATAATATAACAAGTATTTCAATTAATAAATGCAAAATTCAAATACCTGTCAAAATATTTGTTAAACTTTAGGTTTAAAAATATCCATGTGAATAACTTCATTATAGATCTAATTAAAATTAGATTAAAATGGAATCGTATACCTATACTCCCTTCAGTAAAGAAAAATATAAATATTATATAGTAATTATCTTAAACCACGTTTATGATGATTTATGTTTACCTTCCCTGATTCACAAAAGTATTCAAGAAAATATTTTTTGCATAAAATCGTTTCAACCGACAGTCAGTTTTAAATATAATAAACCTATAGGATCTCTTCTATAACTATAAATAATTCACTGAAGAAGTTAATCGAATACAAGTTGGCAACTTACTTTGTAACTGTTATAGTGTTTCATCGCCATACAATTACAGGAAACTTAGATGTTGTCAAAGATAAATAATTGACATGAATAAAGAAACGTACTAAATATAGAATTTTAAAATGCACAAGAAATGTGAAATCTTAAAAGACTAAGGAAAAAATATTGATTATGTTCATAAAATAAGTAAACAATCCTATTATCTGCCAGGTTTCTTTTTTGAATGGAAATGATAATTATTTTTGAATTATTAAAAATAACATTCCTCTGATTATTTGAAGACTGTACTTATATTTTTTCAAACAAGACATCTAGAATATTGCTAAGTACTGTTACGACAGCAGAAGTCACGCCATGCTGGGAGCATGCGCGCTGGAGTTTCTGGAAGGATCATGAATTTTCCTGACAACTCTAGTTTGTTCCAGGCGTCCTCTTTTTTAGTATATAAGCCGGGCAAATAAAGCCAGCGATAGACAGATAGATTGCAGAGATATGCAGATAGATTGAAGAGATAGAGATAATTAGTCAAGCGGACAGTAGGCACCGTAAGTAAAGTGTGTGAATCGCTGTGAATTATAGCGTGTATTTATAAAAGAAGTTAAGTTAAAGTGACTGTGGAAATTCTATGTATTACAAAGTTTGTAACGAGAAAGAATAAACTAGTTTTAATCAAGAATAATCTGTATTGATATTCCATCTTTAATAGTCTTCTTTAAATTGCTAATAACATTATTTTTAAAGTAATTTTAGTAAAGTACTTGTGGTATTCATTTCGTTAAGTAACATTTGTGCTTAACTTTTTACACGCAGAAAAAACAATTACAGCCTGCTTTATCAATCAGAGTAATAACGAATTATTTCTGAATCTATTTTATTTTTAAAGACATTGAAAGAACTATTTAACTTGTATCGAGATACGTTTAAAGCTCTTAATCGATTCTTTATGGAATTAATCTAGTTTTGAAATGTTTAAATAATTTAAATTATTCAAAAAACTGCCAGTTCTATTTTTACGTATCACTTTACTACATTGTATAATAAAATAGTCCTAAAAGATTTAATCAGGGTTTTCAATGATTTGTTTGATAACTTTATAAATAATTTATTAACTATATCCACATATAGTTATAACAGTTATATTATTTTTAAAGAACAAGTATACAAGCAAACGGTGAGTATTCCAATGGCCTCTTTAGTTATGGCCAACCTGTATCCGTTCTTTTATGAAAACATTTATGAAGCAGACTTTAAATCCTAACTTATACATTCACATTTTCCGTTATCCAACAGAACTTACAATAGAAAGAAGTAATAATAATAATAATAATAATAATGAGGTCCATGCTAATTATTTAGATTTGGTCATTACTTTTATATAGAAAGTACAGTGCGGTTGATTATCTTGAAAAATAGAGGATAATTTAATTTTCCCATTCTTGGTCTACCCACACCATACAGTGTTATTCCGTGTATCATGTTAAAATGTATTATATCTCGACTAAAACGGTCGCTAATAGTCTGTAATAACCATCTTTTTTTATTATTTTATTATTTTTAAAAAATAAACTGAAAAATAACTATAAAGACAGGCAATTAAAGAAATCTTTATTTTTTAATAAATACAAAATATTGTAGAAGCTAAACTATCGATTAAGGAAAATATCTTATAAATAAAATAAAGAGGGAGTTAGTTACTTTAGCTTATATGTAGCTAATAATATTTTTTCTAGTAATTATATTCGGTATAACCAGGACGGAAAGACCAACTTCAAGTATCTGGGCTTCTCTCGGCGTTCCCGTGTTATAGGGAGGAGGTTTGGAGTTAGAACTATAAAATAACTTTTAAGGTATGGTGTATAGTTCTATTTAGTTATATTCAATCTTATAGTTCTATTTAATATCTTTTGTAAGGGT